AAACTCATCCTTTCTAATCATCCTACTACTTGTCCGCTTGATCCTATTCCATCTCATCTTCTTCAAGCCATTTTTCCTGCAGTTGTACCTGCACTCACTCACATCAACTTCCATCTTTATTTGACCCTCTAACTCGAGCACTCTCTATTCTAATTATATTCTTTATAAAAAATTTTAAAAAACTTGCCCCTTTTAGACTTGCACTCTATTTATTTACTAACTGCTTGTTTTCTTAAAAAAAAAACTAACACTTGCTTCTCTTATCTTTTTGCATTCTATCTTTTTGTTTTCTTTTTTATTTATTATACAATTATAATTCCGATTTTCTGACTTCTGATTAACAAAAGTAAAAAAGGCCTCTAACACTAGCTTGCTCTATTCTTTTTCTATTCTATCTGTTTTCTTTTTATTTATTATATGATTTTAAAAAACATGCTACGTGTACTGCATTAAGCTAACTGAGGCTTGTTATAGCACTTGCATATCATTGCTCTTTTGTTGATTTTGATTGCTTCCATTGTCCTCATTTGTAAGTCGCTTTGGATAAAAGCGTCTGCTAAATGTCTAAATGTAATGTAATGTAATGAATGCTTTTGTTTAGATTAGTAAAATAAAAAAGTAATGCACTAGGTTTGTTTCTTTCCTATATTTTTTCTACTGTTCTTGTTTTTTTTTGTGTGCATCTGTTCTTATTTTTAATAATAAAATAAAAAGTGCCTATATTGTGATTATTAATATAGTAATTAATATTAAGAAAGGAAGTGGAAGAAACAATGCAACGTTGCTAGGAGATTTCGCTTTGGAACCTTCAGAAAACTTCAATTTCAACGGGTGTAGCGCAGTCATTTTTCATTCGATTCCAACAAATCATACTGTATATCGTTTTGAAGGTGATGTTTTTTTTAAGAATGTAAAAATGTCATTTTTAAGAATGTAAAAAGTCTTTTTTTTTTATTTGCTCATTGTGACTCATTTTGCCAGCACTGGTCACAAATTGTTTGAATGAATAATTAAATGACTCATTCAAAGACACTTACATGTTTCATTCCTGAATGAATCAGTGTTTTTGAATAAATTGGTTGAATGAATGATTCAGTGACTCACTCATGAAGACCATCAGAGTTTCATTCCTGAATGAAGCAGTGTGAAGCAGCAACTCACTCAAGCCACTTATCGCCACCTACCTGTGTGTAGGTGTAATCAATGACAAATGTTGGTAATATTCTGTTTCTTTCTCATTTACATATTGCATAAAACATAATATTGCATTTAATAGATGTAAAATGTATCGAATTATTCTCCACTCCAAAGAGAAAGGAAAACTTGAAATTGCATCATATGACCCCTTTAATAGTATTATTATTGGGTTGGTTAGGAGTGATTTTGTTTAGAAATAAGATCTCTTCATGAAGGTAAAGGTTTATATAAAGTGACTTTACTCAGAAGCAGCTGTCCATCAGGAGTCTGTAATATGCCACATAGGCCTCTAATGGACTTTAATTCAAATGTTGCTCAGATCAGATGTGCCGAGCCCCTCTTTCTTGCTATTTGACTCATTTGCTGCTCAATTTCTATTGATTTCCCCGTATCCTTGTCCATCTAGCATCCCTTTCTCAGAATGCTTAGAAACGCAGGGATTGCCGGAGAATGTGATGAAGTTCAGAAAGAGCGAGATGGAGGCTCATTAGGTTGATTCTCAGGCTAAGAGCTTTGCTCGCTGTGCTGTAGGCAGCCAGTATAAGACAGACCTCGCATGTTCAGGGCTCAGAGAATGTGAGTTCTCCCATTAAAAGCCCATCTGTGGGAATGGGGCTCCTAAATGCTCTGAAACGGCACACTCGGGCAGAGAGCTTCAGCGAGAGTGGCCTGTGCTCAAACCAGGCTAATTTGATATAATGATCTCTTATCTGCCGTCTTTCTCCCTCTCTGTTTTTCCTCTTGTTCTCGAATAGACTCTGTCTTTATCTTCGTCTGTTATCGCTCTCTCTCATTACTTCTGCTTTTCACCCTTGAATTTCCCTCGTTTTCCTCTTTTCATTCATTTTCAGTTTTTTGTTTCAATTGAATTGCTCGTTGTTACCATTTATTTGCCTTTTGTGTTTTTTTTTTGACTGTGGGCACTTTTAGCCCTGTGGACTTTTACAAAACAAGCTCTTTTGAAACACTTTTCACTTTTATTTTGTTTTATTTATATATTTATTTTTATTTATTTTTTTATTTTTTTGGGGGGGGTCAACTAACAATGTGTAATAGAGTTTGTACATGCTTCACAAGAAAATAATTTTGCCAAACCCATTATTTCTCTTAAACAACAAAAGTCTGTCAGTCAGTGGTCAGTGTTGGTGATAGAAATAGCTTTTTATACATTTTTGGACTAATTTATATTAACTAATAATAATGAAAACTATTGTAATAATACACTATATATTATACTATATCATTTCCCAATGTGTCCTAAATATAGAAAATTCAATACAATTTTCACACTTTTTCCACAATTTGAGACACAGCCGTATTATTATATTTTGATTTTTTTTTTTTTTTGTGACAATGGTTTTGGTCATGGTGGTAATTGCAGAAAACTGAGATTCTGTCTTAATTTGAGTAAAAATTTATAATTTTCACACAAATACTGACAATGGTACACAAAACATATTGAAATAGATTATTTTAGTCTGTTTAGATTACCTTTTTTAAGTTATGTTCTCAAAATTATTATTATTGTTGTTGTTTTTGTTAGTGCAAATGGTTTTGTTCGTGGTGGTAATTACAGAAAACTGAGATTCAGTCATAATTTGTGCAAAAATGTAAATATTTTTTGCATAAATACTGAAAATGGTACACAAAAATATTGAAATAGACCGTTTTATTCTGTTTAGCTCATCATGTTTTTTAAATTATTATTAATGATTGCTGTTATTATTGTTGTTGTTGTATGATTTGTTTTCATATGTCATGAACCAAAAAGAAACAACATAATATCATGGTAAATCATAACTATTTTACATTTTGGCAAATTGATGGCTTATTCTTGTATCCTAGTCATACATTTTCAAATGATCTGCATAAGATCAGCCCTTACGCCCCACTGATGGTTATGTTTATCTTACGTATTTTTCGTATAATCTTATGTTTTCGTATGATGCACACTGCATGAATTCATATGAAATCACCACCTTGTAAAACAGGTACAATTTATCATAATATTAGGCTGAAATAAATGACAAAGGTCTGTTTTTTTAGACTATTTTTAATGTGACAGCCATATAACAAAAAAATCTGTCACTATAAGTTGAAATCTGTCACTGTTCACTTCCCCTCCTGTTCCACTTTTTTTTTTTACAGCAACAGATGTCAAGTTTCAAAAAGCAATTTAAAGCCAGAAACGTCATCTGAAGCCATCTGATAGCTGTGCGAGTGCTTTCTAACTAATTGTGACCTTATCTGTGTGTCTGTCCGCAGACAGCACTGCCAGCATCATCGCCAGACGGCGGCGGTTCCACAGACTGACCCAGGAACTGTACAAGCTCCCGCTGGTGGTGTGGGATGACGGGGAACCCGTCCTGAGCAGCACCAGTACCCTGACACTCAGGGTGTGTTCCTGCCAGAGAGGCACCAGACTGAAGATCTGTCAGGGTGAAGCGTTCCTCTCCTCCGCAGGGCTCAGCACTGGTGCTCTCATTGCCATACTGCTCTGTGTGCTGATTTTACTGGGTGAGTTCAACCTGGAATATATATATATATATTTAAACCACAAATCACAGATTGTGAGAGCAACATAATCAATTACTTATGAACAGGGCCAAAAGAAACATATAGGAACTCATTATAAATGCTGTTGATTATAGGTAATGTTATATGGCATTCATAAAGCTTTTAACTTATTTAAGATACATACTTTTTGAGTAAAACTGAATATTAAGAATGAATAATCTAATGATTGTTTTTGTACGATTATGGATGTTAGGTGATAATATTATTGCTTAATTTAAATGAATGACTCGTAAACAATTAAAAAAGGTAAATAGGTACATATTAAAAGTAGTCAATGTATAGTAAAATAATATTACACAATATTCAAT